GGGGGGGGGTTGTAAAGTAAAAAAATACTACACTGGTAATCTGATTTCAATAGCTTGCATAAAAAGACAGCAGCGGCTAGGGTCACATGTGCTTTCCATTGCTTCCTGTAAAATGCTGTGTTGGCTCCTAAAGCAAAGCTTTTCGCATGAGATGGCCATATGAACTAGCATATTGAGACTGAGCTTAATCTGGGAAAATGTTATATATTACATGTGCTTGCATGGCCTTTTGGAAAAAATACTTAGAACTACACAGCTTGGAAAGGCAAATTATTCAAAATGATTCATTTATATATCACAGGTCAGGTGGTCAGATCCTCAGCTGGTGTGAACTGTCATAACTCCATTGACACTGGCAGAAGCTCTGTCCCCAGCTCATACAGTTCTTCAGATATTTGAAAGGCCAAAACGAGCCACTCTTCTTACTACTTTATCACAAAGGGGTAAAAAGCATGAACAATAATTTATAATTAAGTGCAAATTAAAGCCATCACATTTTTCATCTTCATTTTAGGTCTGAATAAGTGAGAGCGGCAATGTTATGATTTCCTCAGAGATCTTTTCCATTCGGCTTAGCCAGAACACCTCTCCAGTTCTGGGATAATACTTTATCCAGCTCTCTCGAATCCAAGAAATCAGCTCAACTCTGGACTTATCACTGAGGTTTCATTATTGGCATACAATCAAACTACACTTGAGTTGATTAGGCTCAAGTGTAGCAGGTGGGTACAGGGTATACCGCACCTTCAATGTACATAATCATAAATTAGCTTTTATACACTCTTTTACTTAATACTATTGGTTACTGTCACTTTATGATTGGTCTACTAATTTTGGTACCAATCTCTCTACAGATAATGAACTGTCCACAAGCTACAAAGTATGCTAGTAAGCAAAGCTGCAGCTGCAAGTTTATCACACATTAACTCTTCTTACTATTTCTTTATCTACTAACTACATGTTATTTACAAGGCCACTTGGGCGTTTATGCTTTGTCCAGTGTTAACCTCTGTTTTCTTACTTCTGTTCTGTTTTATTGTTCATGCAAGGCTTACAGGCAGGAGATTAGATGGGGAGATGGATGCACCAGATAGCTTTCAGCTGGATGGCAGCTGCATGCAGGGGTAGCCTTTGCATTCCTAAAGCAAATGTTACCCTGGGATTTAAAGAGTGGCTAGACATATGTATACATCAATAAGTCTAGCCTAGACAGCACCTTAATTAGGAGGTTAACTAAAAAAAAAAAAAAAAAAAATGAAGGAAGGAAGGAAAGAACCCTCATGCTTTAGGGTAAAAGGTAATTCACTGTTGGATTTTGGAAGGAATTTTCTTTCCTTTAAAATAAGTTTAAATACAATAATAAAGGTTTTTATACTGTCCATTCATGCATCAGGTGTCAGGCCAGTGCTGGAGAATGGATGCTAAACTAGATTGATACCGGTCTGTTTTAACATGGCAGTATCTGAAGTATACATGTGGCTATAATATTACCCTAATGTACTATGGTTCCACAACAATACAGTCAGTGATGAGCTGCCAAAATCTCAACAACCGGTTCCCTATAAAAAGTTCTGATTTAAGGGATGTGCCCCAGTATGTATTTTTTGTACCAAGAGGGTTACAATACATCCGTATTTTCCCGGGAGGAATTTTTAAATTTTAAAAATTCCGCCCAGACGGCGATTTAAGAACCAAAAAGCCTGACCTGTCTGGGAAAATACGGATGTATGTTAACCCTGCCTAAAGTTCTTTTTTAAAAAGATGGGCCTGAACTAGAAATGAGCTCCATTTCACATGTGTGGGTCCCCGCCACTCCGTGGGGGTGTGCTAGGGTGACCAGATGTCCCGATTTTATAGGGACAGTCTCGTTTTGGGGTCTTTTTCTTATATCGGCTCCTATTACCCCCCACCCCCTGTCCTGATTTTTCACACTTGCTGTCTGGTCACCCTAGGGTGTGCACGTGTGGGTCCCAGCTGCTCCCTGCCCCCCTCATTGAAGCAGGTGTGCAGGGTTACTGCCCTGGGAACTGCAGGGCACCAGTGGACGTGGGGCCAGCTGCAGACAGGGGCGTGGGGCAGGGCTAGCTGGAGGCAGGGGGTGCAGGGCTGGCTGTGGGCAGGGCAGGGGATGCGGAGCTGGCTGGAGACAGGAGGGTGCAGGGTTGGCTAGAGGCAAGGGGGTGTGGGGCTGGCTGGAGACAGGGGCTGGCTGCGGGCAGGGCAGGGGGTGCGGCAGGGGCTGGTGCGGGCAGGGTAGAGAGAGAGTGAGGGTGGGGCTGGAGACGGGCTCACTGCGGGCAGGGCAGGGGATGCGTGCGGATCCAGCCTGGCTGGATACAGGGCAGGGGATGCGTGTGGATCCAGCCTGGCTGGATACAGGGCAGGGGGTGCAGCAGGGGCTGGCTGCAGGCAGGGGTGCAGGACTGGCTGGAGACAGGGCAGGGGGTGCGTGTGGCAGGGCCTGGCTGCAGGCAGGGCAGGGGTGCGGGGGTGGCTGGAGACAGGGGCTAGCTGCAGGCAGAGGGTGCGGGGGTAGGGGCTGGCTGCAGGCAGGGCAGGGGGGTGCAGGGCTGGCTGGAGGTGCAGCAGGGGCTGTTGTGGGCAGGGCAGGGGGTGCGGCAGGGGCTGGTGCGGGCAGGGAAGAGAGTGCAGGGATGGCTGGAGACAGGGGCTCGCTGCGGGCAGGGCAGGGGGTGCGTGCGACAGGGACTGCTGCGCGCAGGGGGTGCGGGGGTGGCTGGAGACAGGGGCTGGCTGCGGGCAGGGCAGGGGGTGTGGCAGGGGCTGGCTGCAGGCAGGGGGTGCGGGGGTGGCTGGAGGTAGGGCAGGGGTGGCTGGAGATGGGGGCTGGCTGCAGGCAGGGGGTGCAGGGGTGGCTGGAGGTAGGGCAGGGGGTGCGGCAGGGGCTGGCTGGAGGCAGAGCAGAGGGGTAGCAGGGGCTGGCGGCGGCCAGGGGGTGTCTGGAGGCAAGGTAGGGGGTGGCTAGAGGCAGGGGCTGGCTGCAGGCAGGGGCTGGCTGGGCAGGGGGGTGGGTACTCACAGGGAGAGCAGCAGGACGCAGCCCAGGCCCAGCAGAGCAGCCGGGGACCCACCAGGCAGCATCGGGAGCCCCAGGGCCAGGGGAGCAGCAACAGGACTCATGCTCAGGGCCAGGCATCAGCCCACATGGCTCCCGCAGCGCAGCGCCCCCGGTGGCCAGAGCAGGAATTACATCACTTCCCGGCCGGAGCCCATCAAAGCCTCAGCGCCCCCTGCAGGGCAGCGGGTTAACAACCGGTTCTAAAACGGCTTCAACATTTAACAACCGATTCACGCAAACCGGCTCCAGCTCACCACTGAATACAGTATATAACACACTTTAGCAACAATAGCTGCATTCTTGCAAAATAGTTTCCCCTCACTTCCCCTGCCTCCATTCTATTCAGCTGGAGTAGGCGGACGCATAGAGCAATTACTTTCAATTCTGTTTGTTAGGTTAAGGAATAAAATACTATTATGACTGAAGCTCATAACGTGCCAGAGAAGCTATATGAGACTTGAATACCCATGACCTATGGGGAAAGCAGCGAGTCTCAGAAAGCAAATTGCCACAGTAAAAAGTGAAACACTGAATACTAATAAATCTTGCTAATTAACAAGTCATGTCAACTTCCTTCAAGTTAGTTCTTCTCACTCTCAAGCTAACACTTCACCAAGATTTATTAGCAGTGTTCCTTTAAAACCATTGGATGGCAGACTTGAACTGGAAGCTATTTTTGTTATTTTAAGTTACTGTAACTGAAAGTACCAGTTAGTCCCTTGTGTTCAGAGCTGACAGTACCCTCATCAGTTCTCCACTACTCTAATTATTCTGGTGCTTGATAAACCCCACTTTACAACTGCTGCTTTGACAAAGGGAGAGAGTTGTGCTGTGTGTGTTTAAATAAAGATGTTAACGGGGGAGTGGGTGACTCACTGTATTAGCAGCCGCATATTATTCACAAAAGAGAATCCACACAGTTTACTTATTAATTATATATATCTCAAAGCATTTTACAAAGCAAATCTATATCATTCTTCCCATTTTACAGCTGGGAAAATGGGCACAGAGAGGTGACATGACTTGCTGGTTACCCAGAACGCAACTGGCAGAGCCAGGAGTACAGCCAAGATCATCCATTTCCCATATGCTCTATCCACGAAGATGCTCTGTGCTTCTTTGTCAAGGAGTGAAAACTCCATGTCATGAACAAGTCTTTATACCTATAGCCTCTATTTTATGCTCCAATAGTAATCTGACCAACATACACAGCCACATACTTAAACTTTGAAAACATCACTTTATTTTAAAAAAGAGAAACTGCATTCAAGAAAGCTTTAGTGAAGAAATAATTGCCCATGCAGTCACTAACTTGTTTGAACAGTTGGATGCTGAGCCAGTTTTTTTGCTTTCAAAAATAAAACCAAAGTATGAAAGAAAGAGGTGCCGCAAAAAACCTTAAATCACCTAGTATAATAACTTCAATGAACCTTTCAAATAAAGGGAAAATATTTATATGCAATAAAGGGGTCAGTATTCGGCCACTCCAAAGTAAAAAATACAGTATTTCTTAGTGATAAGTTGAACACAATGTGTTGGCTGTAAATGAGTTATTGGTTTCTACGAACTATCTAGGAAGACACATTCCTGTCGCTCCATCTCATGTGATGGAAAAGATGGTTAAAAAAATAACGACAGTATCATTTGCTTAGGAAGGGCAGGTTGTGATGTGCAAATTGTGAATTGTGTTTTAATGTTCTCTACATATGGAAAACAAAGGGGAAAATAGTTGCCTTGTCATTTTCATCTGGAAACCTGAGAATAGGCTTTGTGTGTCCTTGAAAAGAGTTGATTGTAAAAACTAAGCAGATACAGAAATGAGACGGTCCTTTAAAAAACACAATCTTTAATTGTTTTGAAATAAGTCTTTCATTTAGTATTTTGTTCTTTATTTCTCATGATATAGCAGTGTGTTTGGGGTGGGAATAGAAACAGAGGAACATTTTGGCTAGTGTGTTGAGTTTAGTCAACATTTTTATGCAAGTAACCTATACTCCATGAATGATAGGATAATTTTAAAATAAAGGATTATGAGACTTTCAGACAGAGGGATTCTGTGGCTTCCTCTCTGAGTTTGTTGGTATCACAGTTTCTTTAATTTTATATTTTTTAGCATAAATAAAATACATGACATGTCCAGTTATCACAAACAGTAAGGAAATTATCACCAGCAGCCCAAATTGTTGCGGTTGAGGAGCTAGAATAACCATAATGAAATGTACAAGGTCCATCAAGTAGTTCATAGAGCTCTGCACACCATTGACTATCCCACGCTCTAATTCTGGAATGTTCTCCTGTAGAAGCTGGGTCACAGTCAAGTCAAATGACCAAAGACCTGCAAGAGAACAGTAAAACTCAAGTGCTGTAAATTGTGCATGAATTTGTCCTTTGGATTGTATAATATTCTCCTAAGGGAATGGAAAGCCCCATCTATGTAAAACATTTCAAACTACATTGAACATTATACTAGAAAATAGATTGTAAGTAGCTGTCCACTATTGGCAGGGAAAAGACCAAATACCCTAATGGGTTCCCAGCCCGCATCTTTAAATTTAGCGATTTCAAATTAGGAGAGCTACAGCAGGCTACCCACATATGGAAGTCCATTGAGCCACACTACATATTGTGGCCCTGTCCACCAGTATTCAGATGATAAACCAGTGACTTCTGTTAAATGATGGAAGAATTGTGAAAAAGCTAAGAGTGTAATGACCTCAAAATACCCATTGTAATATCACTGGAATAACTATATATTTCTGTTCTCTTATATCCCATCTGAAGGACACAAGATAATTTTTTTTAAAATTATAACAAAATGCATAGAATTTCTCTAATGCACACACCTTACACTGTACCTACAAAAACTAGTTTCTTCTCCCTTCTTAGGAAAGGATTAATAGGAGGGTGCTTTTATGAGGCATCACATTACTAAATCTTATAATAGGTAATCTACCATTTTGTGTAAGAAACTAATTTCAATTGTTAAAATAAGAATGTGCATTTCATAATGCATTATTTCCTCATTTCCTTTTTTGCTAAAAAATTGTAATGGGGGTATTAGTTGTTAGTGCCGATTAGCAAGGTTCTATGATAGTCTCTCTTGATAGTAGAGATCGTTATGAGTGATATAAAAAGAATTACACTAGGAAACTGCAAGTTAAAATATGGAAGGACCATCTCAGCTCTTTGTTTTTGTCAAACTCTAGACCTCCTTCATGTAACTTTTCTATTACTTTTGTGTTCATATTTAGTATAATTCCCAGACAAAAACTATGTTAAAATGGAGTTAATGTTGTGAGTATATATCAATACTTAGGGTAAACTACATTAAAGGGATGTTGTAATGATCTCAAAACCAAGCACTGTAAACTTAAGAAATTCACAGTGAAGATTAAATGTAGAAGAAATCCAAACTTGATAGAGTATAGAAATGTACAATTAGGGCAACCAAAATGAATTAACTGTTGAAACGTTCCATATACTTAAAACTCACTGAGTTCTTGTGTGCTTGATTTTTTTCTTTTGATTAATGGTAATTTTTCCTTGTAATTCATCCTATAGTTGTCAGGAAGAATTGCCCTATTTCAAAATGGCCACCTTCTCCTAATGTTCTCAATGGGACTGAAGGCACTGCAGCCCATAGGGAAGATGATTTCTTCATACGCTCAATCCCATGCAGAACAAGAGAGTTTTACACCATTCCCAAAATGGCCACCAACTGAGGGCAGCTGTAGTTTTGGTCTTACTGAGAACAATAGAAGATGTCAGCCATTTTGAAAGAGGGTAATTCTTCATTGATGTCTCTGAACTAAAGTAAACTATTGTATCCTGCAGCTTCTCATGAAGGAGAAATTTTCATTTATGCACAACAGGAAAAAATGACCATTAGATCATTTTCTTTAGTGAAAAGAGATCTGACACTAAATTTCTTAAAAGCCCCTTTTTCAATTAATTTTAATTCCTAAACTAATTACCCCAATTTATTCGTAACTTTAGAGAAAATTGCGTACTCAAAGAGCAAGTGCTGTAATTGGGGGAAGGACATGCATATTTACCATACAGGGTTGATCCTTGCTTTATGTTCAAAACTCAACTCAACCTTAACTATAGAGTAGTTACCAATCCCTCCATAATACGTTTAGACTTTTATAAAATCAAAACAAAGCCAAAAAGACTCGTTACATGAAATAAGAATAATATGTAATGGATGTACCAAATTTATATTTAAAAATGCACTAAACTGTGAAAAAAAAAAACCCATGAATAGACTCACTGGATAATTCTTCATGATACAATCTCCATAGGTTTCAGCACACAGCTATACCTAAATGCTAACCTACAGTGGCTTTGCTATTGCATCATGGGCTGCTCTTGAACTGGCTGCCAGTTTATACCAATTATAGTTTTGTGGATGAAAACTAAATATGGCCCTGAAATGAGACTACCTTTCTTCATTTATAAATTAATACAGATTTGAACCTAGACCTCCAGTGGTGACAGGCTAGCATGCTGAGCAGTTGAGTCACCTACTTCCTCTTTCCCCCCTCCCCTGCCTTGTAATTTGGTTTACTAAAATAGGATTTATAGGAGAAGTATAGCCTTTGTGATGCTACTTCTCCCCCATCCTTTCTATTTCTGCAGCATACTGAGGATTCCATGAAAATGCTAAATTTAAGTCAGCTAACAATGCTATAATAGTAGCATGAAATGTCATTGTCATGTAGATCAGTGTTGTTCCTCTGAGCAGCCCTACCAATAATTACAGGGGGAAATCCTGGGAATGCAACATAACTGTTTTATTAAAACACAGATATGCTAAAGGCAGTCAAACTGACTAGAAATCTTTGGTAGATGTCTATTAATGAAGACTCAGATGCATAAATGACATGCACTATCTGCATAAAATAGTTGAAAAACATGCTGAATTGGCATGTGCATGAGAGAAACTAAAATTACATTTTTATTGACAAGTAGTTCACGTAATCCTGGGTAACAATAGTGAAGGAATATATAAAGGCATCTCAATATGGATGCAGTATGAATACACAAAATGTAGTTGTGACTGAATACACCCCTGTATTCACACCCTACAGATTATTGTAATAACCTTTGTGCAAAATATGCTTGTGATATCATTTGAAAACTAATAACTCGCTGGTCAATAATATCATGACGAAATGTGTGTAGTAACATTATATGTAAAGTTATAAACATAAGTTGAAATCAGGTCTGAAGTGCGTTTACCAGATTAGTTTGGATAAACCTGTTTCCCAAAGACATAGGACAAGCGGATGTGTCATCTAGCCATGTGTCATCAAAATTGATGGGCCATCATCTGTCAAGTGGCTGTTCTTTGGCAAAGAAGGATGGCAGTAACAGATCCATATACATTTTAGCAAACAACACATGGAACCTCTTTCACCACAACACTCCCTGACTCCATCCTCACAGCAGGAAAGGGGGACTGGACTATAAAGTGAGGGACAAAAACACCCCAAGTTATCTCTCTCTCACACACACAAACACCTAAGACGACAAAAGAAACAGCCTTTGAACTTTGGGAGCAGATCCTGTCCTGAGAATTTCATCAGCAATGTTACTGGAAATATGTGGTAAGGGATTTCACCTTGAGCCAAGTCTAGTTTGTTAAGTTTTAGTACTAGGAAGCATTTTATATTGATTTCTCTTATAATCATTTCTGACTTGAATGCCTTATACTTGTACTCACTTAAAATTTATCTGCTTGTAGTTAAATAAATATGTTTTATTAAAATTAATCCAGTGTTGTGTTAAACTGAGCTGTGTGGGTTACTCCATTTACAGTAGCAAACTTGTTGGATATTGATTCCCTCAGAGTGGCAATGGACCTAAAATATCTGAACTGTCCAGGAGAGGCTGGATAGTGCAAAACATACATTTTCAGGGGAAATTCAGGACTGCAATTGTGTTGGGGCCACCCTGCAACTGATAACCGAGGCTGGTGGAAACCAGAGTGTGACTGGAGTGTGACTGGCAGGATGCAGCTATACACAGACACTCAGGGTGTGACCTGCATGCTGTTTGGCTGTATGTGAGGGGCCCAGGTGGGGAGCTACGAGAGCAAAGCATTGTGAGACACCATAGGTTACAGGGCAGGGGTGACAACCTCTCACTGGTCTGGATTGCTCCCTGGGATGTCATACTAGTAAAATCATGTTTATAAGGCAGCTCCCTATAAGGCTGCTATGTTTAACAAAAATCCCTATACCACACAATCAACTACTTTGCATTCATACTTAAAAATAAGGTTCTGAATGGTGGAGCAGAAATGCAATTACAAGGCTCTGAAAATTAGTGCCTGCTATGCCAAGGTGCTAAGCATCCTTAATTAGGCCCTCGCTTTCCACCAGCCCTAGAGTAAATTAAGTATGTTTATGCCTATACAGTCATTAACTTGATGAAAACAGGATATTCTTTCTGAAAGTATTGACTAGAAAGTGATTTCATTCCAAATGGCATCTCTTTGGAAGCCTCAACATCCTCCCCACCCTTCTGCCCCCACCCCTTACAAACCTTTGTTTGTGGAATGGTGCTACCTGTGAGGAGATTCATATTAAATTATCTGAATTTTCTTACCTTAAGTACTAATTACTAATTCTGCTTCTTACATATTTAAGCATACAGCAGTCTGGCACAACTGCTGTTGTACTTTCTGTGCTTTCATTTACAGGGATTTTTTTGACTGGCTCTAAGCCAATGGAACATCCATTTGCTCAGATGAATTTGTTCTTAAGATTAGATTAGAGAGATTTTGTTCCTGGTTATTTCTGTTTCCAAGCCTGTTATATATATTTGTACTACACCCTAATACTTACGAAGGTTGCTGTATTAGTAAATTAGTAGCAACTATATATATGTATATATTTAAAAGCTAATGCATTGCTAACATGTAAGAGGAAGGCACTGTCCAATGGTTAGGGTGCTAGCCTGGTGGCTGGAGATGATGGTTTGATTCCCTGATGTGCCACAGACTTCTGATGTGACCTTAGGCTAGTCCTTGTGTTTCAGTTCTCCATCTGAAAGGATCAGCAGGACTTGATCCTGAGCCTGCAGACACAGCTAACCAACATCCCCACACTGCCACCTGGGAGTAGCTGGAAACTAGCTGACCCCTATGACCCACAATTTGCAGAGGCTGTACGCCATGGGAAGTCCCACCTCGAGTGATCCAACTGATAGTTGTTTTAGCAATCCCACATTGGTTCCTGTATCTTATATAAGCCATACTAGGGCATACTAGGAAGCGTCCAGGCAACAATATGGATCCCTAGCTAGCTGCCATGACTGCCCTGCTTTTGAACTGTCTCCAGGTATTGACTTTGGCTCTGACCTGGATTCTGCCTCCCAATTGACCCCCCACCAGAAACCCAACACTGATCTTGATAGCTGGTCTTGACCCTCATAGCTGGTCTTGACCCTCGGCCTGACTCTGCCTCCGGGTCTGACCCTCATATTGTCTCCTGACTCGGACTCTGGCTTTGACTATAAGCTCGACTCTTGACTCTGACACTGGCTCTGACCCTGGCTCTTAAGCTCCTGCCACTAGTCCTGCCTACCTTCACCCAGAATGCCAACACCATCTTTAGAAGGGGTATAACAGCACTTCCCTATCAATCAGGGGTGTGGTGAGGATATATATATTAGACTGTGAGACGGTCAATACTATGATGATGTGGGCCATATGTAACAGAGAGATCATCACATCTGGTTTTTGTTCACAGAATATTTTACCCAGTGAAGCGACTCTGCATGTGGTGGCAAATTGCATGTATACTTACCAATTCTGGCTAGTATCACTCCTGAGAACAAAAGAATGATTGAAATATAGGATTCTGGGTGATTGTCCCCATGCACGCTGTCCAACAGCACTGTATTATTAGTCCAATGAATTGAAGAACGATCTGGCAGTATGGGTTGGTTGATGTTTCTTTGGAATGGGTAAATATGCAGCTGGTTCTTTTGTAGTGTCTCGTGGTTTAAGGAAGAGTTCTTACTTGTGAGAAGAGAGAAAATACCCAAGTCAAAAGGACTGCCGGAGGCAAAGACTGAAAACACACACAGCATTAAACAGCTTACATGGAGGAGGCTGGATACAACTCCTGTGACAGCCAAGCCATAATGCTTCCTTAGCTTAGTAAACAAAATCGTGCCCATTAGTCCTGAGAAGGCAGAAAGAGCCATGAGTATGCTGAGAAGAGAGCCACTGATCCCCTGCGTGTAGGCGTACCCTGTAGTGATACAGTCAAAGCCAAGCACTGTGGTGTACAAGAAGGCTAAACCCAAGCCTGCTAAAAAGACAGACTGCCTGTAATATGCTTTCCAGCCATCTCTGCACGTACACAGCATCCTGTGCATTTTTCTGAAGCAAAGAGGCAGTTTTGTGATTGACTTGCGTTGCATTTCAGGACTGGATTTCTGCTCCGTCGGTGCCTCTGGAATCCCAGGTTTGTTGATGAATTCAACAACAGCTGAGCAAATGGGAAGATCCCCTGTAAAATACCAGTCAGAAGGTTTTAATGATTCTGGTGGCAACTGCTCCACTGTGCAGTAAGCTGCAATAAGAATTCCTGCTTTCTCGGGAAGAGTGGACCCCAACTGATCTGTTCAAAGCAGCTGCTAGAAGGCAAATATTAAAGGCATTTGAAAGCATCAAACAACAAAGGGAGTTGAAAGTGGACCTGTTATTAATTGGCCTTGAATTACTTCATTTGACCTTTTCGGGTGCAGGCATAGTCTTACATCTTATCCAGAGAGTGGCGTGACAAACTGAATTACAAGTCTCTCTGCTGTGTCGGTAGCTACATTATGAAAGAAAGCCATTGACACTGTCTATATATTGGTTACGCCAAAATATTTTAAAGAGGAACAAAACATCTCATACTAGTTCGGCTGTTTGCCACGCACGTTCACACGCACACACACAAAATAAAGTTAAAGTAAGGTAAGAGAAAGCAAGTTTTAATCAGAACTAATGAACTTAAAGGGGAACTTGTTAAGCAAAGGTTTCTGGCTCTGTTACTACTCTTTTGGTTCAGACATTCAAAATGGCACCAGATCCAGTATGGGATTTATTGCACACACAAAAAAGAAACATTAGCTGGAAATGCAATATCCAGTTCATCCTCATCTATATTTCAAGCTTAGAAAAAAAGAATAATGTTTTGATACAACTACAAAATAAAGATTTAAATGTAAATTAGATACATCTCAGACATGGTTAACTTCATTGTGCAGATTTTGGTTCTTAAGATCGTTTTTAAGCTCCGTTATTGGAGCTAAATATGATGACTATGATCGAATGAGCTGAGGAGAAGACTAGGACCCAGAAACTCTTGAGTTATAATTTTGGTGCTAATACTGAGTCCCTGGGTAAATTACTTATGTTTCTCTCGGATTTCCCATTTATAAAAGTGCGATAATACTATTTTCAAACTTTTAGGGCTTTCGTGAAGATTTGACACTTAGTTCTTACAAAGAACTTTGAAGGTGTAGAGCACTGCCAGCTACTCCTATAATATACATGCAGTTTTATTTGCCCCATCAAAGGTATTTCATTTTTAAAAGGCATATGATACTTTTTTCTATGAAAGAATAACAGTTCTCAGAAAATGTAAATTATTCTCATATTTATAATCAGTTTCAATTACCTCCAGCTAATTCCGTCTAAGTGATCATATCATCCATCAAGAGTAAGTTAGTTTAATTACTATTAATGTTTGTAGAGTACTTTGAAAATGTAAGTGCTAAGTGCTAATTACCCTGTGTGTGAGAAAGATGATTGTAAAAATGTCATTGTGGGGCTCATATTTCAGTGCATAAATATATATCTCATATGTCATACAAAAATAACTACATTAAAAGAATATTAAGGATGGCACTCAAGCACTCAAAAGTTAAGAAGTGCCAGAATTAATGCTTTCAGTGCAACCTTAATTCAATCCCCTTGTGCATATGCATTATGATACAGTCTTTAATTACATGATCACATACTATTTGTTCCACAAGATCCAGTCCCTTGTTCAGTAAATGGGTGTTTATTCAATATTTCTTTTTATCCTTCTCATTCAATGTGTGGTCCAAGGACTTATTTAACACACATCATCCAAATGCTGCACTGGATACAAAATTATTAATTTTCTCATGGATGTTTCTGGAGTGCCCTCACCATAGTATCTGAGTGCTCCACAAACATTAATTCACTTATCTTCACAACAACCTTGTGAGATTAGGAGGCATTATCCTCTTCATTTTACTGATGGGGAACTGAGACACAATGAGATCAAGGCCAAAATTGTCTAGAGTATCCACTATTTTTGGGTGTCCAACTTGAAGCAACTAGGTCATGATTTTTCAGAGTACTTAGCATTTTCTGTCACTTTAACATATTCAAATCATAAACTCAATTGATTCCAGTTGCAGCTGTGAATGCTGAGCCCTTCTGCAAACCTGGTCTCAGGTGTTGGCGTCCAGAAAATTAGGAACATACAGTTAGTGGTCACCTGTGAACATTTTGGTTTAGGGCTCTGGGACAGAGGTAGGGATAGAATCCAGTTCTCCAAGTTCTTCACTTGTCTTAACCAAGGTGGGGTGGGGTGAAGGGGTGGGAACAGAACCTTTGTGTTGGGGGTGGATAGGAGCAGAGGGCACAGTGAACAGATGCCAGAGGGATGGGCAATCAGATAGATAAGCCCATGCTTTCTTCTCCTGAAAATCCCTGCCTCATTCACTACCACACCTTCCAATTTCTGCAATAAACAAGACAGGTGTCCTACAGACAACAGTCTCCCGCATACACAGCCCCGATTCTTCCCCAGAGCACCATCAGTCCAGTGCACTGAATGAGGCAGGGATCCCCATGGGAAAAATTAGTATGTGATCATGTCACTGAAGACTGTATCATAATGCTTACGCACAAGACGGTCAAATTAAGATTGCCCAAGTAATTTTAATTCTGGCATTTCCTAATCTGTGCTCAACTATACAGCCTTAGCATACTGTTAATATAATTTCTTTTTTAATGTAATGTCCAGAACCTAAGTAAAAAGTGAAAACACTGAAATTCTATTATGTGCAAGCACACTAATCCCCCCCCCCCGCCCCCACTTGCATCAGCAGCATGATTTGAACCGTTAGACCCACTGCATGGACCTCTACCACTTGAGCTAATAGAATAACTGGTAGCCATAGTAGGCTGTTATCCTCTATGTGAAACAAGCAGAGTGCGGAATGAGACACACACTTTGCCATTGGGTTTCACAGCTGCTTAGAATAATGTAGAGACTCAGGACTCCTGGATTCAATTCCAGGTTTTGTAGGGGAGCATGTTCTAACGGTTAGACCCTTCTACCACTGTGATCCTAGGCTGTGTCTGTGTCCCTCTGCTCCTCCAACCCCTTACCCTGCTCCCTCAGCTTTCCTGTCCCCTCCCCTTCTACTCCTATCCAGTCTCCCCACCCCTTCCCTGGCTCCTCCCCCCTCTGTTCCTATCTAACTGCCCATTTCTCTGACTCCTGTTCACCTCCCCCTCTGCTCCTATTCAACCCCCACTCCTGCATCCCATTCACCTCCCCCTCTGTTATTCCTGCCATCCACCCCACACATAGAGATGTCTGTTCTTACGGAAAAACCCTTGTGGATGGCTAGTATGTTCTCATTAGTATAGTCAACAGAGGGTCTGTCTACCCTACAGTGGCTACAGCAGCACAGCTATGGCACTGCCGCTGTGCCACTGTGTGTAGATGCTTCCAATATTGCCAGAAAGGGTTTTTCTGTCAAGGTAGTTAATCCACCTTTCCAAGAGGAGGTCATAGGCACTGACTCTGGGGAGCATCCCTGGAAAAAATATTAGCACCCACCGGCAATCCCGCCATCAGCACCTCCCACCCACCGGCAGCGCCTCCCCATCAGCGCCTGCCACCTGCTGTGATCAGCTGTTCTGCGGCGTGCAGGAGGCACTGGGGGAAGGAACGAGGGCTGGGAGCATTCAGGGGAGGGGGCGGAATAGGGCAGGAAGAGGCGGGGCAGAGGCAGAGCGGGGCAGGAAGAGGCGGGGGGTAGGACCTGGGAGGAAGGGGTGGAGTGGAGGTAGACCTGGGCTAGAAACTCGGTGCCTATGGAGGAGGTAGCTAGGTCAATGGAAGAATTATTCTATCAACCTAGCCACATCTAGTAGATCGATCTAACTTCTGCAGTCAGGGTATGAAATTTTTCACAGCCCTGAGCTATGTAGCCATCTTGATCTAACAGGTAGACCGGGCTGAACAAGCACATTTGTAGCAGAATTGCACAGGAGGTCCATCTGCAGGTGTTGCTTGGTATTTAAAAAAAATTCTTCATCAATAATGGATGAAGAATGTCCTAAATAGTAGGGAGTGAACAATTGCACAGGATACTTTTCCTCAGTGAGAACAATGTGTTAGCCTGAATATCACATACAAGAGCTTGGGGAGTGGAGGTTAGTATAAAACAGATTTCAGCTAATCATCACTGCACCAATTGTGTAGCAAACAAATCATGACTAAGGCTTGGTCTACACTACAGAGTTAGGCTGACATAAGGCAGCCTATGCTGACCTATGTCAGTGTCTACACTACAGCCTTGCTCCCACTGATGTAAGTGCCCTACGGCACCGACATCATAACTCCACCTCCACAAGAGGTGTAGGGCTTATGTCGGGGTGGTTAGGGTGACGCAGTATCCGCGTAGACACTGCATTTCTTACATCAGCTGTTGGCTGTGTTGTCAATTTAATGGCCGGAGTCGTGAAATTGACAAAAAAGCTGGGGCAGTTCCTAGTGGAGAGCTGCCCCCCTACACTGCCGCTCTTCAGTCAGTGTGTCACCAGGAGCACACACACCACCGACAGAAGGAGGGTAGTGTGGACCTAACACAGGTCGATTTAAGATTGCAGTGTAGACATGCCCTAATTTGTGATTTTACTGTCTTTTTTCTTAAAATGTCTAAAGGCATCAAGAAGTATTATGTCCCAACTCTAGCTGCTAGTACAGACTCACCCCCCATTGATACGGCATCTGATGATTAGTATTAGTAAGGCTCAGCTCCAGGGAGTAAGGTCGATGTCAGAGGAGTTGTCTTGTTGTCATAAATCATCTAATCTCCTGGTATAAGCTGGGTAAAACCTTGTTATGGGTTGGGGTAAAACCCCACTGAGGTTGATGGGTGTGAACTCACTCTTCAATTAACATCACTGTAAATATGAGCCCCACGGAAAACAAAAGGTGTGTGTGAACCTGCTGAGAAGCTTTTGGGCTGAGTTTTGGTTTTGGTATGTGTGTATGAGAGTGTGAGAAAAAACACTGCTTTTGAAATGATTGATATGGCAGACAAGAACAGAGAAAGGCAGAGGAAAAAAGGAAAGAAAAGCCAAGCAGGAGCCTGTAAGCACACTGTGGCCCTGGAAGAAGCTAGAGAGAGGGCTTTGGGGTTGGGTGCTGGCTACAAAGACTTGAACTCTGTAAGGTAAGAAGCTGATCCTTTTGTTACTCGATTCCTCCTGTGTTCAGAGACACAGGACTTTGTATATAAATAAAACTGCATATCTGACTATCACCAATTTCTCCCTCCAACTTGTACATCTGAAGGGCCCCAAACTTTGATGAGCGGTTCAGGTCAAAAATGGGCAACAGTACTTATGCATAATTTCCATTGTCATTAGTAGGAGATGGCCATGTACAATGAGGCAGGAATTGACCCCATGGAGAACCACTAAAACAGGAAGATGGTCACTGGGGATACAATACTCTTTTAAAAAGAGTAGCAAAAATAAACTGAATATTAGGGATTACATGCATTAAATCATTCTTCACTGACTTCTTTTCTTTTAGCATCTTGAATTGCTATGACAACCATCATTCTAAATGAGTATCAGTGGTTCAGTGACATGCTGCAGGATAGTGCTCTATACCAAGGAGCACATAATGCAGACAGATGGATTCATTAAACTGTCTTTAAATCTGCCTGGTAAGGTATTAAACAATGGAGGCTCTGCTATTCTCACACCCACCATTGCAAGTTGTGTATGTAAATCACCCTAGTACCTGGATTTGGAGAATTGACCCCCGCATATTTGCTACTTAGCTTTTCTCTTTTCTTTTTATAGTCATTTTATTATCTTCATACAGTTCCTGTGGACTGACTCATTGGATACCCTCTAGTACTCTAATTATTTCATGTGTAATTCAACATTTTGGATGCAAGCCTGTATTTCAATAGAAATACATTTTTAAAATGTTGGTGGGAGGCTGTTCTCCTACTGAACACTACTTACCTGGCACATCTGTAAGTTCCATTTGTCTTTCTATAGCATATTCTCCTGCATTCTGTTGAGGTTTCACAGCCAAAGGAGGCACTAGTTGATACACCCTGGATAGGAATATAAATTCTACCAGAAGAGAGATCAAGTTCCATCCAAGAATAAATCCACAGCCAATGACATTAGAGGCCCAGGTCATAACCTGCCCCACAGACAGAGGAGCGAAGATATTTATGACTTGATCCATTCTTCTTATAGCTGCATTCATTCCTAAACATGGTGTAAAGACAGAATGCATTTCACTCTACATATATACAGACGCACGCGTGCATCAGTACTGACGTGATAATTTTTCCACCCTTTGTTTGCCTAATAACACTAAAAGCTCTACAGGCAGGGACTGTCTCATACTATATACTTATACAGCATCTTATGGAGTCCGAATTTCACTCAGGGCCTCTAAGTGCTACTGTGATACAACCAATAATATTAATAATAAATTATCACTTAAGATATTCAGAAGGAGCAAGATATTTTACATAAGACCACATGAAAAATAAAGTGATTGCGTGGTGGGGAGGACAGATAAAGATGTGCTCATGAAAGCCAGGGACTAACAACAGGGGTTTGAGTCCAGGAGAGCATGAAGAGACATGTATGCTTCCTTGCTCAGCTTTGGCAGTGCACTTTAATCTTGATTTACAAGAACCCTTCCTAACTTAGACCTGTGATGCTGCCATAGAGAGATTTCCAAGAGAGCCTAATTGCAGTACATGGTGGTGGTGTGAAGTACACAGACAGAGTCTTGGATATGTCCTTTCACTTATGATTCGTGCCAGGGTTTGAATCAGGTCTCCCAAAGCAGAAGACATGTGTAACTAATCTATTGTGCCCTGTAGGCTCCTGTCTAAAAAGATGTTGTCAATTCTCAGTAGTTGCTTCACCTGAAATAACTTTGCTACTTTTACTTGTTAATAAAAGCTCATTATTAATAAGCACAGTCCTATATTTTTTATCTGATCAACCAGAAAACCAGGGGGGGAGGGATAGCTCAGTGGTTTGAGCATTGGCCTGCTAAACCCAGAGTTGTGAGTTCAATCCTTAAGGGGGCCATTTAGGGATCTGGGGCAAAAATTGGGATTGGTCCTGCTTTGGGCAGGGGGGTTGGACTAGATGATCTCCTGCTGTCCCTTCCAATTCTGATATTCTATGATTCTATGAAATTGGTGAAAAACTGAAATCTTTGTCACCTGTACATTACCAGGCTTTTTCCTGAGAGGACTGAACATTAGATACTGCTTTGAACACAACTCTATTTAATCTTCTTAGACTCTTATTAAGGAATGAGATTAGAGATTTGTTTCTAAATAAATATGTAACTATGTTTCTTCTATTAAATAAAATATAGCTTTGGCTATATGAACATAAACCATATCTAGCTCACCAGCCAGTTGGCCTCTGTTATCACCTGTGATGACCACAATCCAGTCTTTCTGAATGGTTATCGTCAGCGCTGTGCTTGCCAGGTTTGCCAGATCGGCTAAGATGATTACCACTGCATAACAGAACACCTTGTTGGAAGTGAATAAAAGCCAGGGGTTGGAATCCAAGAATCAAGGTTACTCAGCTATTGCTGGCTGGAACATTACGCAAAGTCTGAATAAGGATGGAAGCTTTCAGAGACAGGTTAAGTTTGCCACAGGAGTGAGTACTTTTTTGCTAATTTGAGCAGCAGAAGCTGTTTTTCCATTAACACTATGAGCCAGATTCTGTTCTCAGTTAAACCTCCCGAAAGCCAGGGTGAACCCGTTGCCTTCAGTGGAGTCGCTCTAGATTTAAAGGGGTAAATGAAAGCAGAATTTGCCCCTAAACCTTATAATCTTCTGCCATTATATCGAGAGGTGACTTTGCCTCAAATCAAAGGTGAACACTAGAGGGAAACATGTTAAAGAGGCTCAATTCACCAAGGCCCAGATCCTCAGCTCCAACCAAGAAATGCAGAGTGTTAAAGGGTGGGAGCAGGTGCAATGGCGGTTTAAGGCCCCCAACTCCTTGGGCAGGCTGGTCCCCCTGAGAGCTGCTTTAACTTGCCCTGGCTGCTAACAGCTCCAAAAGGCCAATACAACAGCTGGGGCTCACCAGGATACAAGGAAAGACCAGCTGCACGCCTTACATTCAAAGCCGAGGGTGCAGGAGGGGGATGGGGAGACGGAGGGAGAGGAAGAGCTGCTTCATTGGCTCTTCCCCATCATGGGATCCTCTCTGTGAGGATACCCTGTGGCTGATTATACTGGCTTTCTGGCTGCTTTGCTGGTGGTACTGTGTACCACAGCCACAGCACAGAGGATATTCTGGCCCACAGTCAGTCTCTACAATTAAAGCAAATACTTTACATGCATTATTAACCTACATAAAGAACCCAAGACTGAAATATTCAAAGTATCATTTAGACACTTACACTAAACCAGCCGTGCCACATTTGCTCAATCTCGGTTTTGTAAGAGAATACCAACATCAGTACTACGCAGCAGCCAGTGACAGAGGAGTTCTGAATGAACAGCGATGCATGAGCAACTGCAAAATGAAATAGCTCTTGATCTGATATATATCTGATCGATTTTAAAAGACTCTCACAAATTCTGTCACTTAATACAAACAATCTGACAAAACCCTAGCAGCCACCTGAACAGACTTTTCTAATAAGAAATGTCTCAGCTTTGTATGAAAGACAAAGAATGACACCTCATTCTCACTATAGAACAGAAATTGTGTTTTCTGACCAGAGCTAATTATAAGGAACATTATTTAACATTTTGCAAATTCTGAGAGGCATGATCTAGTGAGGAACTCCTACTCCCAGCTTGTCTTCTGTGGCCTTGGGGAAGTCGCACTGGCTTTAGGCTTCTATATCACTTAGGCACTGTTTTACCCTTATTCTCTCTTTCTCAGTTTCTCTGTTCAGTTAGGATGATATAATGCTTCCCTCCTTCATAGGAAAGGTGTAAGAAATTATTAATATTTTTAAAGCACCCTGAAGAAGATAGCACTTATAAGCATTATTAAATCACATGGATAGTAATTATATTCAAGAGTTTGTATCTCCTAGTTAGGAATATCAAAATCAACGCAGACAATTACCTTCATTTCTTGGTTTTCTATCAATCCAATCTCCAATTAAGGCCCCAAACACCAGTACAGAGCCAGCTACCACTAACCCAAAAACAGCTGTTAGAAGGAGATTATGTCCATACAATTCTATCAGGAATACAGACATGGCAAAGTGCCACATTCGATCTCCCTGAAAAACAGAAGAGACAAAACTTTATTTTGATTTTAGCCTCACAAAATAAAGCAATACCATGGACTAAATAAATGCAAGTACAGAAAATGGGGCAGTCTGAATATTTTAATTTGATCCATTTCTAAATACGTTTCCAGATGTACTACAGTGCTTCCAGAAATACAAATGCTTCTCAAACCAGGCTTCTCTTGATCATTTACAATGCAATAATTTTATCTGAGCTTATCTTACCCATATAGAAAGTGCACAGCTTGCATAAACCAGAAATCTTGGACCCATGAGGTAGCTCAGCACTGCATCTGAAACACATACACAGAAACCAAATACACTTGAAAGTAAATTTTGTATGTACACATGTGCATGTGCATCTGTGTGTGATTGATGTGGCTGGTGCTGTATAGCCAAGTAAAAAAGTGTACCTCACCCATAGGAAAGTACAGTCTCACTACACACATTCACAGACAAAAGGGATAAAATTCTGCCCTCATGGAAGTCAAAGGCAAAACTCTGATTGATTTCACTGTGGCCAGGATTTCATCCAAGATATCCCATGATGGAAACCAGAATAACACTTCTCAATTCTCACAGGTGGGAACACTATTGCACAAAACACCACATCAGAACGTTAAACGGGATAAACAAAAGATCTCCCTAGTGATGGAGCAAAGCAGAGAGGTGACTAAATGAGGTCATGTTGGCCCAAATCAGCTAAAATGGAAAATGATGTTCTTCTTTTCACCACAGAGGCTTTTGCACATAGTGTGTAATTTACTTTATTGGGATTAACTGGCTATGTGTGTTGTGTTTTCAGAGAAGATGCTTTTGGTTGTAAGACCCATGGGATTAATTGGTAATTCTCAAACTTTTAACATCAAAGGGCCTCATTTAAAAGTAGGCTATGCCAGGCCTCTAATTTGCACCCACAACATTGCACTCTTAATGCGGGAGTAAGTGCTGGCATTTAGACACCTCTTCTAGTTACCTGATTTGCAGGGACAGACGGGAAGATGTTTGTTTAAAATTCTTTATTTTCTCCTGCAGTTCATGATGTCTGGAATTTTGTACCCACAATCAACTAAAGGACCAAACTCAGAAGCTATTTTTAAAAAATGAAGTCTTTTATACTTATTTTCAAAGAAATATTAGGTATCATTGTGGAGCTTTTATTCTAATTGACTATCAAATTGATCAGTCTGAGGAATTGTATCCCTTACCTTTAATCTGGCTAACAATGTAGTGCCTGATTCTCCATTGTGTGGCCTGTTGTGCAGTCATTGGTGCTAGATGGGGATATGTTATCATTCTGATTTGGTAGTGTTTTATACCCAATTTCCACAGGTAGAAATGCCCACATGAGGTGCAAGGCAATGGAGTATCAGGCCCTTAGCAATTCAGTCTAGTATATCTTCCCTATGGCCTATATATGTGTTTTAATCTTCCATATCAGCTCCACTCTCTATAAAGCTCAATCTCTAAAAATCATATTCTCCATCAGTGTCTGTAGTTAGAGGGGGTGACATTTATGCTTCTCATGCCTGGAACTCTGACTTCATTTTCATGTTTAGTTGTCACAGCTGTAGCCCCACACATCATCCTTCTGACCTGAAACTGTATCATGAGAGGCGGAATAGTCATGTGTATGAAAACAGTAGAAGGGCACATTTGGAAGACAGATTCAGTTGCTAAGCAGCATTTAAGTTAGGCAGTCATTTCATATTGCTGAATAAAGAACAAATATCTGAGAAAAGTATCTGTCTTATGCATTTCTGCAGTGCTCAGTGGACAGACAAAATTGCATAGAGTTCTGATTAATTTAAAGTGGCAGAGAGATTACTTCAGTTCAAGAACAAGGCCTAGATAAAATGATATGACAAGCTGATAATGTTCAGCAGAATTACACCTGGCAACAGTCATTTTCATCTCTTTGGGAGATTTACCAATAAATCTGTTCTTTCTCCTAATGGATGTTTCTGTCCATATTCTCTGACTTCCAGAGTCTTTTAGGTCTTCTGAGTCTTCCACCATTCTTTCTTACTGCAAATAAAGGTTACACACATTGAAAATATATGCAAATTGCAACTACACTGGCATGAAGTGTGGGACATCAGGTCTAATTTCAATAGAAATCAGATCCTCCAATTGTCTGAATGAAGACACTGTTATGCCTTTACACAAGTCATTCTTTAAATTATATATGTGAACTTTTTGCTTTCAGCTATAGCCAGATTATCAACAAATGGACATGTACTAATAAATTCCCTAAATACCCTTTGTCTAAGTGCAAATTATATATGACTAAATAAATATACGCACACTGTAATTAACTGTTCTAACTTACCACAAATAGGAAATAGTCTATGTTTTATACTAAATGAGCCCGATTTCTTTTCAGCCCTGCAGTAGGCGACTGTTAAACATTTCTACATTAGCATATATTTAAAAAAATCTTTCCATTCTCCCATAGCATTATAGTTACTATAATTAATGCAAATTAAATACGAAGAGAAAATGATCGTTTCATTTATATAATCCATGGGCATTCAAAAAGTTGGGTATTTTCACTTCTATTCCACTAGCTAACATGCTATAGAAATCAGTTGCAACCAACAACTCCCTTAGTCAATTATACATTTATTTTTACTTACCATGCATGAACAGCAGGACCAAAATTTTCATGTGTTCTAGCTTTATTGTTTAGTTGATTCAGTCACTTGCTGTACAACTCTATGGAAAGATGAATTTTTTAAAAAAAGAAAGAGCTCAGTTTATGAAACTTACACGTACACTTGCTAACATGTATAGCGTTGTGTGAAAAATGCTGGAGGTGCAAATGTTTCATGTTTGTTGTCAAAAGAAAAGCCAGCATTTTCTGTCACATGTGACAAGCTAGTACAATGTGCTTTTCTATGGGTCATTCGGTGCGATGTAAATTAGCCCACTGGGAAAAGACTAATCCTGGGAGTGCACTGCATCTCACGTCTGGCATGAAAAGGGCAGAAAGGCAAAGCCTAGCTAACACAGATGCTGACTGCTTTATTTGCCCCGAGCATTTCATTTTGATTTACACGTCAAAACAGTGCAGAGATTAGAGGGCTTGACTTCAGTGGAGCTATGATCATGTACTCTAGTCCCCATGTGCTGTATTCTTCAGTGAAGCCTCAGGAGAGAATACATGCTGTTTTAAACATTGCAATACTGGCTATGTGTTGTCCTTTTAGAGGAGATGCTTTTGGCTGTAAGAGGAGTATCATTTAACTGTTTTAATTGCAGTAATAATTAAGAATACAATTTCATGTATTGAATTCAAAGCATCATGTGACTTCAATTTTTATCTGAACACATAAGCAGAGAGATTTGATGGTTTTCTGCAGGCTTGTGTATCAATTTCACTTGAATCCCTATGCTTAGACTGCTGTTTATCAATCTTATGGGATGTTCTTTACAAAGTATTCACCAAAAAACTGAAAAAAATATTAGATGACTTTCGTAGGATTCTGAGAATTCACCAGCAGTTGTCAAACTGCAATGTCATTTTGTGAGATGTTTGTGGAATTTCCTTAGTAGTTAGTTGCAGAGGATTTTCATAACTGTCCATTCATTTTGTGTGTCTAACTTGAGACATCCAGGGCCTGATTTTCAGAGGTGGTGAGCACCTGCAGCTCCCACTAACTTCAACAACTCTGGTGACTGGATTCACATGCCTCAGGTTGGGCACCCAAAAGTTGAAGCAGGCAAAATGAAAATGTCTAAAAGCAAGATGCATCTGTACTCTTGGGGAGTGCAGTGGCTCTGGAAGGGCTCACTCACAGTACAGCCGTGATTCTCAGCCAGGGGTATGTGTACCCCTGGGGGTACGCAGAGGTCTTCCACGGGGAACATCAACTCATCTAGATATTTACCTAGTTTTACAACAGGCTACATAAAAAGCACTAGCGAAGTCAGCACAAACTAAAATTTCATTCAGACAATGACTTGTTTATACTGCTTTATATACTATACACTAAAATAGAAATACAATATTTATATTCCAATTGATTTATTTTATAATTATATGGTAAAAAAGAGAAAGTAAGCAATTTTTCAGTACTAGTGTGTGGTGACACTTCTGCATTTTAATGTTTGATTTTGTAAGCAAGTAGTTGTTATAAGAGGTGAAACTTGGGGGTACGCAATACAAATCAGACTTCAGAAAGGGTTACAGTAGTCAGGAAAGGTTGAGAGACACTGCAGTACAGGAAGACAGACAGGGACTTCCCATAATGCTAAGGAATTCCATTAGGTTTGGCCAAAGCGCCAGGGAAAGTGAATGTGATGTGACAGTCAAAGGAGCAGAGGAGACTAAGTACTTACATCAGAATTCATGGCATTGTAGTTCTGCTTGGAAGAGGGAGACAACGTCCCTGTCTTCATTGGGCTGAGAACAATGTTCGCAAAACCACTTTAAAGGAGGTGTTAAAATCAAGTTAGTGTGAACCTGCTTAAACAATTTAGTTGAACTTTTAGGTAGAACACTAGAGTATTGAACCACTTATAATGTAGCTGTTTGGACATAAAAACACACATATATCAAAAAAGCCAAAACAGATGAGAGGCAGGTGCCAAGACAAGACCTACCTCTTGACAAACACAGAAGAGACTTTCCATCTCATCTGCCCTCAGGAATGAAGCATACTTAATGAGAGTACTTTAGGCTCTTGCATTCTCTGCCTGGCTGCTCAGTAGGGCAGGGCACAAGCAGCCTACTGGCCCTCCCACTGGTGTGAGGAGTTAGTGAGAAGATTGGGCTTTCTTGCAATCCCATCCCATAGCACTAATCCATATGTCTGAAATACATGAACTAAGCCTCACAATACTTCCATGCAAGAGGAAGCATTACTAGATCCATTCTACAGATAGGTAGAATGAGGCCCAGAGGGGTTAAACAATTTCACAGTTTCATAGATTTTAAGGCCAGAAAGGACCATTAGATCATCTCGTCTGGTCTCCTGCAGAACCGGCTATAGAATTTCTTCCAGTTATTCCTAGCGCCCAATAACTTGTATTTGACTAAAGCATATAATTTTCTCAAGGTAAGTGAATCAGCTACAGAGCTGGGAATACAACCCAGGAGTCCTGACTCCTAGGGTTCTAATGACTCAGCCCCCTTCATTTAAAAATAAAGGTCCTAATGAAACCGCTGCTGGCTCAGCAGATGAGGTGCCAGCTTTGGCGATCCCATCAGAAGTAAAACCTTGTCTTTAAAAATGTTTTAATAGTTCATTAGGAGTAACTGTAATTCTAATACCAGTGGGGCATTTTTCTTTTGCTTACCTGAGACAGACCTATTGCATTTCAGAAAGGTACATGGTTCAGCGTTCAAAGCCAGCCTTATATCCTTGTTCCTTCCTGTGGCTTCCATGTGTGCTTACAATTATTTCACTAGCAAAATTACAAAAACATTGTTTTCATCCCAAAGGCTGCCTGTACACAAAGCATTTTCAGAAATGCTCAGACCAGCTCTTGAAGACAGTGGTAAAAAGCCTGTGGCCAATCTCCATCAATGCTGTGTAATACTTGAGGGCCTCCATCACCAAAGTATGTAAGCACTTCACAAACATGAATGAAATCATCCTGACAACATCCCTGTTACAGGATTGTAATCCCCATTTTAACAGATGGGCAACTTTAGTACAGAGAGATTGCATGACTTACTCAAGATCCTAGAAAGTCTGTGGCAGAGCCAGGAATTGAATCCAGTGTCTTAATCACAAGAGCATCCTTTCTTGGCTCTTCACTGATGTTAGACCAATGACAGGAGAATTTGTGAAAACATACAGAGTATGCAAGACCAGAGAACAGGGGCAGGAGCAGCACCCCTGTGCAATTTATCTAAAAACTCAGAGCACTCAGCCATTTATATTAGTGCCCCTACCATTCATAATGCTTGATTCCCCAACATTTTAAATCACTTTTATATATCAGCTACAAAACAGCATATGGCAAAGTGCCTGGTTTTCCAAGATATCAGCAAGTGTTGGATGTGAGGCAAAAATTATCGCAGCTTTGACCAAACAGAAGAGAAGGAAAAGGCAGAGGGAAGATTTTAAGCTTTGTTCCATCATGCACCGTTTATTTGAAACAGAATTTCAAGAATAACTAGCTCAATTATTTTAGAAGTTCCTGAAACAGAAAAACTGTTAGAGCAGGATTGTGTTCATGCATATTTTGGGAACACCAGGAACCTAGATGCCTCACACAACTGTTTAATCTACCAAATTCCCACCAGAAAGAACCCC